GAGTTAAGTCTTCCGCTGAGTTAAGTAAGCCAGGCAAAGGGTTCGCTTGGGGCCAGCAATGGTCTCCGAGTGCCGGCCACGTCCTGGGTGTAGGCTCGGGGCGTGACACCCCCCAAAGTAATGTTTTACCATTTCTTTCATTAATCTTTTTAGCTCTTTTTCCTTTCCCTTGTCGTTTCTTTTTTCATTTTTTCTCCCTACCGCATCCTATGCCACTTCCACCACCTCACTTTTCTTTTTTCTCTTTCTTCGTGTTCTGCTAATCCATACCACCTTCTTTCTCTTTTATTTTATTTTCTTGTTCTCTTTCTTCCTTTTTGACAATTCAGTTTCTTCGGCAAGGACCCCTGTCCAATGATTCCGATTTTGTGCAAAGGTAATTTGGTGGACCAATTTTAGTGGTGGTTTGATGGTGGCTGATTTGAGAAGATAAGGGTGATTTGGTGGTAGCTTTGATTTTTAGATTTTGTGAACTACAGGTTTGGTTTGAGGAGAAGATGGTGGAATAAAATTTGAAAAGGAAAATAAGAATAGTATTAAGAAAAGAAAAATCAGGTGCAAAACAGTATTGGTATGCGACCAACGCTGCCTTAATTAAAACTGCAGTTGGTCGCAAAAGGTGGTATTAGAACTAGTTTGGGGTTTCGGGCGGGGGACTAGGAACCTCCCAAACTTAAAACTGGAAAAAGTAGGAGAAGGTTGGACCTGATAGGTTTTCTGTCCGAAACTTCTATGGTCAAGGTGTGTCCGAAACCTTCTTTGTAGCTCTGATTCCAAAGAAAGTGGGTGCATCAGAGTTATGAGATCTCAGACCTATTCGTTTGATAGGTTGTATTTACAAGATCATTTCCAAACTTGACTGATGAGAGGCTGAAGAAAGTAATAGACACGTTGATAGATAATCAGCAGATGGCGTTTATAAAAGGTAGGCTAATCCTGGATGCAGTTTTCATTACTAATGAGGGTGATGGATACTAGAACAATGAGTGAGGAGCCTATACTACACGAATTGGATATAGAGAAGCTTATTATCATCCCAACTGAAATTTCCTGTTGGATACTTTGAGACAATTGGACTTTGGTGTCTAATGGATAGGCTGGATCAGATACTGCATCAGCACAGGAAGGTTTTCAGTTCTTGTTAATGGCTCTCCAGCTGGTTTCTTCCATTCAGAAAGGGGCTTAAGACAGGGAGATCCTTTGTCCCCTTTTATTTTCATTGTTGCTATGGAAGGACTTCATCATATGCTTAGAAAGGCTGAGGAGAGGAATTGGGTCAGGGGCTTCAAGGTGAGTTCAGGGGTGGATAGTACTCTGAAGATTTCACACCTAAAATATGCAGATGACATAATGGTGTTCTGTGAGGCAAATTTGTGACCAAGTGAGAATGCTGAGGATCATTTTTATTCTCGCTCGAAGCAATATATCTGGTTTACACATAAACTGGACCAAAATTTATCTTTATCCAGTAGAAGGAGTAATCCCGTTACACTCTTTGGCCAGAATCATTGGAGGAAAAGTTGGTGTCCTGCCTACTGAGTATCTAAGGATGCCTTTGGGAGCCAAAAGCAAATGTGAGAAGAAATTATCTATTTGGAAGAGTAATTATTTGTCCCTGGGGGTAAACTAATTCCGATAAACTCTGTATCAGATGTCATGCCTACTTACTTGATGTCCTTATTTCCTATCCCAGTTAATGTGAGCAAGAAATTAGACTCTATCAGAAGAAAATTCTTCTGGGACGGAAACAGTCACAAGAAAAAGTCTCATCAGCTAAAATGGAATTCTCTTGTGCAGCACAAGGAAAGGGGCATTGGGTATCAAGAACCTTAAATCCCAAAATAATAGCTTGTTGTAGAAATTTGCAGCTGAGGAGCTGGAAAGAGGCAATTCTACACAAGTATGTGAGAGAAGGAAGATGGACTTAAATGGTTCATATAGGATCAGTCTGGAAATCAATCAGAAATCTTTTGCCAGTTCTCAAGGAGAAATCTTCAATCAGAATAGGTAACTGAAGGAAGACATTATATTGGGAGAACAATTGGTTAGGCCAAGGACCTCTGAAGCAGAGTTCCCCAGAGATGTTTGTACTTTCTTTACAGCAGGGGGAAACTGTAGCTGATCTAGGAGAATCCTAGGGCTGAACCTCATTTACAGGAGACCACTTAATGACTGGGAAATCAAGATTTTGACAGAGTTATTAAAAAGTTTTGGAAAATTCAAGAATATTTCTACTGCTGAGAATAGTTAAAGGTGGGATGGTGAGAGACAAGGCAATATTACTGTCATATCTGCTTAGAAAGAGTGCAATACTTCCAACTTTCAAATTGAAGAGTGGGCATGGAAGTTGACAAGGAAGGTAAAAATACATTACAAGGTTGCATGTTTTCACCTGGTTGCTGTCCTCACCCAGGATAACCTTAGTAAGAGAGGATATCCTCTCTGTTATATATGTGTGTGTTTTTTGTTGAGAGGAGTTGGAGACTACTCTGCATCTCCTCTTTTTGCACTGTTAAGTGACTTGCAGTTATGGAGAATGTTTCTCAGCTTCAGGGTATAAGTTGGGCAATGTCTAGGAACCAGGGGCAGCTCAATATGATTCGTGACCTAAAGCAAAATTTTAAAATGAGGCCTTAAGTTTATTCTCAAGAAAAAAAGATTTTATATATTTATTTTATTTAAATTTTATTTTTATAGCTTTTTGAGATGCAAATTATAAATAAATTTGTTTTATGATCGGTTTTTTCAATTTTAATTTCAAGGAACTTTTTTCAGCCGAGACAATTGTTATAGGAACTCTATAAGCAATATACGCATTTGGAAAATGATAAGATCTTCATATCTAATTGAAATATTTCTTACCTTTCTACTCCCTCTGTCCCTCGCGTCCATTAAGCAAAATAATAAATATAGGGTATAGTTTACTAAGTTATTCCTATAATTAGATTCTCTTTTTTAGGATTGAGCAGTATTTAAATCTTCTTTATTGTTAATGATATAATTGGAAACAAATGTAACTTTAATCTTAAATTCCTAAATGATTTTTTTTTGGATCTACCACAACATTAATATGAGAAGGAAGAATATTAAAAGTACTCAATAATTTTAAAACAAAAAATCTACATGACTATAAAATTATAATTGCTAAAAGCCTTGGCTGAGTAGCTTCATACTGAAGCAGGCCCTGCTAGGAACATTGTAGATGTTCTAGCAAGTGGGAACAGAGAACGTGCTAACTCAAGCCCAAAGGAGAGATGAAAGGTCATTCCAGCCTGTATTTGGTGGACAATAAGGAAAGAAATGAACAAAAGATGATTTTAGATAAATCAAGTCATATCCAGAAGATAAAGTACAAGTGTGTGGTATTTTGCATTTTTGGTGTAAAGGAACATGTGTAGAATATCATGATTCAATTTTTGATGTTTTAGGCTCCTCGTAGATGATAGAGGAGCTGTAAGTTTAGTCTCTTTACTTCCATGAAATAATGCAGTAACTGGAGCCAACAGGAAGTCTAAAACATCGCAAGATAAGTTATCCTTCAATTTTGATTGGGATAAAATCGCAGGATAACTTATCCCGAGATTGTAGTGTTATTTTTATCCCACATTGAGGGTGGGATAACAATCCTGGGATTAGGACAACTTGTCCCCAACCAAACAAGCCCTAAGATTATTTTCAGTTAGTTGTCCCCAACCAAACAAACCCTAAGATTATTTTCAGTATCATCTACCAAAACTGAAAATTTAAAATACAATTCAACTTAACTTTTTGTACAGAATATACTTGTCTTCAAAACTTGTTGAATGCTTAGCTTGATATATTACATATTAGTATACAATGTATGACTTAAAATATTTGTCTACTTTTTGAACAAAATAAAATAAAAATGTTACTATTATGAGGGTTGGGTTAGCTGGGTCATTTTAGCATTTTTAATCCTATACTACTAATAAGTGCATCCTTATTCCACATTCTACCCAACATTAAATAATACATAGATTATCACAAAACTCATGCAGGTATTATTTGTGAGTTAAACAAAAAGGATCTACCAAACATTGTATTTAACTAACGTTGATCTCTACATGGAGATAAATCTCCTCAATTTATAACCATAAATTGTATAAATTTATGTTGATCTTTATGTGGAGATCATATCTGATATCTCCTAGAACCCAAACCAAACGGTCCTTAAAGGCTACATAAATTGTTGCAACCATTGAAAAGAAAAGGCCCAAGGATAGTTCAAAATTCTTTATCTTGGGAGCTAGAAGTTTCCATCTCAAGCTTCAGAAGGGACATTCATCCATTTACCAAAAGTACAAGAGAAACTCTATAGAACCAAACCATCAGTGCCTAATATTGATGGTAATACACCCTTTTTCCACCATCAAAAAAAAAAAGAAAATAGAATCTACACTAAGCCAACCAAGCGCTCTATTTGTTGACACTTCAAAAGTAAAATTTTTAATACTTTATTCAACTTGGAGAAACCTGATCATATGATATAAAAGCTTAGGTGGCTCTCTAGATACACCAGATTCATCAGTTGTATAAAATGGCCTATAACCACATCATATTTCTGTTACAGAGCAACCATGAGAATACATTGAGCCAAAGGTGATCCCACAAGCCATGATAGTAGACAAGTCACTCATAATGCATCACCATGATGAGGCAAATCCCTTCCAAGACAATACATCATTGCAATTCATAAATACTGTTCATAATTGAAACCAAATGATATTCTTCTTCTCTTGAAAGGCTGAAATATCTCGATGACTACCACTGCTCCATGACGAATTTTACAAGAGTCTACCTTAGGAGGATCTTTCCCATAACAATAGTGCTGAATATTTGAACCTATATATAAAATCTCCACAAATACCATCGAGGTAATATCCCCAATATCATTATTTTGAAAGACTCTGCAAATTTGCCTCTCCATGTATGTGAATACCACTAACTACTAAATATAGTAAGACACCCAAAAATAAATCTTTCACAATGAAGATCTCAACACATATAACTATTCCAGCAAAAATGAACGCTTGTACGAAAGTTGCCTTATCTTAATAGTCATATCCACTACCCCATAACACTGTTTCTATCTAGAGCAGAAGGAGATCGTTACTAGTCAAACTCCATCTAACAGACATAATACCATGTCCGGATTGATGCCCCCAAAACAGGCACAATCTAAACTAAGAAAGATGGAACTTTGGACAGCCGAAAACGAAACATTACAGCGGGGGGAAACAAAAAGAGAGATAAACATTAAATGCATAGGAAAAGAAGTTAAAAGACAGCTTCTCTTTCCTTTTTATACGGCACCACAAAAATCTCATTCCATCGTCAAGAAGAACATTCTACCATTTGAAGACACCTGAAATAGTTTTGTAACAGAAAAGTCAATCAGACTAACAATATGAGGTAAGATGAGTATGAATAAAGAATAATAAAGCATCCGATTATCCAAATTACCGAATGCTCATCAAGACTAATAATAACCACGACCATATCCACGCCCATGTGGATGACCACCTCCATAAAAAGATGGATGTTGGCCTCTCCCATACTGCAAGATTACATAGAAAGAAATATCACAACTAGGGTTGAATAACAATAAGAAAGATAAAGTGAAACATCATACTCACATCAGAGCCATAATAACCACGTGAGTATTGATCACCACCTGGAGGAACATTATCTAACATAGAAGAGAGTAAATACATAAATAATAATTGATCTAACAAACAAGCAGCTTAACAAAAAAACTGCAGATAAACCCCATACTTCTATAACGATCCCCTTGAAGAGAACTTGCAGAATCTGGATGATCAAACCGAGGACGTCTGCTAGGCCCCAAGTAATCCGGATTCGGGACCTACAGAGTAGAAGGATCAATTGTAATCTATTACAGTCAGTCATCTAATGCTCTTTGACCTAAGATGGTAACAGGGGAAGGAGCAACAGAGAAAATTCATGTAACTTACTGTCATGGAAAAGGGCCTCTTTAACCCATGGTCAGTATTATCATAACCGAAACGGTCCTCAATGTGCCTATCCATGGATGGCCGGTTATTTCCTTCAATAGGAAATTGTTGTCTCCTAAAGAAGGCATCATCTGCGTGACCTCTATCTCCATGCCTCATTCTATCAACAAACATTGGACCCTCACTAGTTACTGGATGAGCACCACTGAAATTCCACCTCCCACCTGCTAAATTAGTAAGATATGTTACTGAGATCTATTTTGTGGAATATATAAGTCAAAATAGGAAGGAGACATGAAAAGGGGAAAGTGTGATGTACTTGGAAAATGGATGGGAAGAGCTAAAGCAGATAGGTTACTGAGATCTACAATTATCTTAAAGTCAACCACATCAGAAGACATAGAATTTGATCTAGTCTATGCAGGTAACATACATTAAACATATTATTATTATTATAAAAGTAGGAAACAAAAGTAAAAAGTTGGAAGACCAAAATGCCCACATAAAGTTGAGTTACCTTTTTGCCCTTCAATTAAACTACTTCTATAACATTTACAAAAATGTAATATAACAAAATGTAAATAAGAAATTAGTCTTGAAATATTCAAGTGCTTATTAATTAATGTTTAGAGAATTTATTCTGGAGGATGTATCCAATACCTGTATGTTTTTCCAAGTTAACTTCAAATTTCACAAAATAACATATCACATCATCTCAAATTTCAACTTTGACTTGTTAGATCTTTTAGAAAACTTTTAGATAAGATTTTTAACTCATAAATATATATTTGATCGAGAGTACAAAATGTAAGATTATGGTAATTTGAATGTAAATTAATTATGCCTCACTTGTGGGATTATACTGGGTATGCTGTTGTTGTTGGATGTATAAAATTATGGTGATTTGAATACTGAAGACATCTAGAGATAGCGAAACTGGCTATCAAATTATTTTTACATATGTATAGTCCAGGCATAAGAGTCTCTCTCACCAAAAGCTGTAATAATAAGGAATTGTGTGACACCAAAGAAGCAATGGCACTACAACCTCATAATTTAATTTCTTCATATCAAGTATATTCTGCTAATAAATCCCAAAAAAAAAGTAAGAAGATAATCAATAACTTTGGTAATTGGAGGCAGAGTCATAAATTACAATAAGACATTCAGGGGAAAGCCGGAAATTATAATAGGCATTTGAAGACTTCTGCGGGGCAGGTTTCTTCCTTTATTCAGATACTTTAATAGTATCAACATTTCTTACTTTCAGGAACTTGTACTTTTTTCTTTGATATTTTATTTTATAACTCAAATATAGTGTGTAATAATCTTTCTGTGACTCATTTAATTCTGTACTCATTAATATGTGGTACACGCGCAAAGTGTGTGCCCAAAGACCAGTCAACATAAATGGGAGAGAGAGACAGAGGAGAAGGAGAAAGAGGTATAAAGTTTGCAAATTTCATTTTTAATGAAGATGAACAAAGTTAGTTATTTTCATTACCTCGTCCAAAGTTTGACCGTCCACGGAAAGGAGGATAAGGGCTACCAAACTCATGTTCAGTGAAGCCCATTCTACCACCATGACCAGGTCCACGAGGGTGAAAGCCCCTACCACGCGGAAAATTAGCTCTACCAAGAGTATGTCCTCCTCGCGGAAGGCCCCTTCCTAAAAAAGCAAGGTGCATATTGCAGTTAGGTCAGGCACAAAGGAAAATTTCTTGAGCAGCTTATAAAGAAATATAGAATTTGATAGAGTTACCCATGGGACCACGGCTAATTCGGAACCCTCCAGATATTCCACCTTTCACAGCCTGAGTTTTTGGTTGGGGATTTGAAAGCCTGGCTCGCACTTTTGCCTAAGTAACATAACAAAACTGTGAGCATTCACCAATCCAGTAAAGACATAACATCAAAATCATCGCTTATGTGAGGAGGAAGGTTTTTGCATGTTTAACCAATACACACACAACTGAATAGCAACAGTCCCACATCAGTTTATAGCTCTTCTACAAGGACCACCATCCACTCGAGCAAAATATATGTTAGTAAGAAAACCCATTAGGGTTATATGCATAGAAGTTCAGCCACATACACAAACTGGAAGCATTCTGTATATTCTGAAGCTATAAAGTATGACATCAGCCAGCAAAACACTGACAAACAACATAAAAGTCAAGAATACCTTCAAATTTCCATCACCCAGCTCTGTGTTATTAACGCCCTCAACGCAAGAAACAGCAGCTTCATGTGTGTCGAAATCAACAAATCCAAAATCCTTCCGCTTTGCTGTTGATATATTCCTGGCTAGCGTAATTCTTGTGATCTCCCCAAAACATTTGAATTTCTCACGGACGCGTTCTTCATTCCAATAAGGAGGGAGTCCATCAATAAATACTGACTTCACTTGAGCCATTACCTCTGGATCTGGATCGCGTAAAGGTTCGGCAAAAGCTATTTTGGCAGTCCTCTCAGAGTGACCAAAAACAACATCAGGCCTTTGAAGTCTTTTGTATGCCGTCATGGCATCAGTGTGACAAGAGAACTCGAGAAACGCGAAACCACGACTCAAACCTTCACGTTTCGGATCAGCCACCAAATTAATGTTTTCAACACTTTCTACACCATAATCTTTCAGCTTTTGTCTCACCTGTCATAACCACATATCATAGTTAACTAGAGATACTTAATAACCCATTTGTGTACATTGAATATTAACAATCTTGCAGAATCAAATTCCTGCACTGTTGAAGTTAAACAGAGTTATTCAGAAACATGATTCAGCAGAGATTGGTTATATCACTTACGGCTTCCTTTGTCCATGTGTTGCAAATATTTCCTAAGAATAAGGTGTCATTGTCCTCACTTGGAGAAGTTCCACATCGCTTTCCCCGTATCTGATGTCAAAAGGATAAATTAGACTAATAGTGCAATTCCAAATGTATTCAAACATGAATTGGAAAAAAATCATACAACTGGATTTCTCATTTCAGCCAAAGCACGGCTAACTTGCTCCTTAGTTGCAAACTTCACGAAGGCATATCCCTTATTCTTGTTTGTTGACAGCTCTCTGTGCATTCGAACATCAATAACCTCCCCCACATGCTGGAACACCCTTTTCAGATCCTCCTCCACAGCATCACGGTCTAACCCACCAACAAATACTTCCAGCTCCCTCCTCTTCTTTCGTTCCTTTGCAAGAGCATTCAATTGAGCACGCTCATCTTCCAACGTCTCGGCTTCTTCACAGTGCTCAGGCACATCATCTTCCACAAATTCTTCACTATTTTCTTGATCAGCAAAAGCCTCTATTTTATCTTCACCAGCTTCGTCAAGAGAAATATCCTTTCCTTTCATCTTCCTATCTGTATCTTCCTCCATTCTATCTTCTGCACACTGTGCATTTACATTATCCCCTGTAGGAGTTGAACCATCGTCATTTTCTCCCCTCAACTCCAGTCCTTCTTTTCCTTTATTAGATCCTTCGCCCTCCTGAGATTTCAGTTCTGTAGTAATAAGTTCCTGACTGTTTGAAGATTTCATATCCTCAATAATAGGCTCCTGAGATTTGACATATGTAACAGCAGGTCCCTGATTTTCTGAAGTTCTCACATCATGGCCAATTTTTTCTGACAATCTCACATCATAGACAACAGTTACTTCATCTAGAGACATTAAAGTATTTAGAGCTGGTTCCCCCTGTGCATCACCTGCATGTTCCTCCTTGTTTCCATTTTGATCTTCCGCCACGGAATCACCAACATCTTTAACTGTGGACACTAAATTATTTGAAGATTCTTCAATTTCTTTATTTGGCTCATACATGGGTGTTGGTCCTGCATCATTTAAGCCCTCTGCATCCTTCTCCTTAACAGGATCTTCCTTTGAATCCTCTGCATCTTCCCCCATGACAGGATTTTCCTTCAAGTACTCATCGTCCTCCTTTGCAGGATCTTCCTTTGAGTCCTCTGCATCTTCCTCCATGACAGCACTTTCCTTTGAGTCCTCTGCATTTTTCTCCTTCACAAAATATTCCTTCGAGTCCTCTGCATCTGCTTCCCTGACAAGATCTTCCTTCAACTCCTCTCCATCTTTTTCCTTCGCAACATCTTCCTTTGAACCCTCTGCATCTTCCTCCTCCATAGGATATTCCTTTGAGTCCTCTGCAGCTTCCCCCATGACAAGATCTTCCTTTGACTCAGCATCTTTCTCCTTTATAGCATTTTCTTTTGAGTTCTCTGCATCTTCCTCCTCACCAATATCTTCCTTTAAGTCCTCTGCATCTTTCTCCTTCACATGATATTCCTTTGAGTCCTCTGCAGCTTCCCCCATGACAAGATCTTCCTTTGACTCCTCTGCATCTTTCTCCTTTATACCATTTTCTTCTGATTCCTCCACAACTTTCTCCTTGACAATATCTTCCTTAAGGTCCTCTGCACCTTTCTCCTTCGCAGCGTCTTCCTTGGGATCCTGTAGATCTTTCTCCTTGACAGGATCTTCCTTTGGGTCCTCTGCATCTTCCTCCTTGACATCAACTTCCTCTGTGTCCTCTGTATCTCCCTCCTTGATAGATTCCTGTGCATCTTCCTCCTTCACATGATCTTCCTTCGGGTCCTCTGTATCTCCCTCCTCGACACATTCTGTTGATCCGGCTGCATCTTTCTCATTGCCATGATCTTCCTTTGAGTCCTTCGCATCCTTCTCTTCAACAGGATCTTCGAGCATTGCCGTTCCAGCATCTTCTGATATAAGTGTTTTATCCGAGGTAGTTTTAGAAGAAGCAGGACTTTTCTTTACCACCTTCTTCACAGCCCTTCGAGTAGTTTTCCTACCTGAAGCGGATTTTGCTACTGGTGTTGATTGAACAGCTCCATCTGCATCTGAAGCCTTTGCTTCTTCAGCTGCATGAAAAAATATAGAAAACATGATAACATTCTTTGGGTAAATAGAGAACATGATAACTAATCATGTATCTAACAGACTCTAACCCCCACACCAAAGACAATTAAATAGATAGTTTGCATGCTTTCATCAGCATATATAGGAGGTTAAAAGCTCATTTGGTTTGGTGATTGGAAGTAGATGATAAGCATTAAGTGCTGAAACTAATGTTATAAACAAGCAGTTATGTGTTCGGGTAGAAGCACTGAAACTAATAATAAGCAATTGATGTATTTCGTGAAAAAAGTGTTGATAAGCAATTTTTCTGTTACAATGACTAATAAGTCTTTTAAAAGTAATTATCAAAAATCAAAAAGTATCTGTACAAGGGGAAGAACGAATGATGGAGTGAAAGAGAATTATTTTAAGAATTTTAGAAGATATAGGGATAAAATATTCAGTCAACTAAAATTGCTTACTAGCTGGAAAATCATTAGTTGATTTTAGCTTATAAGCACTTTGGGTGTATACCAAAGGCTTAAATAAGTTAGAAAGCTAGTTTGACCAATTCTATAAGTTCACCAAAACACCCTCTAAGCCGCTGTAATGTTCAATCAGGTACAGTTTGTAAAGTCGAAAAGGCAAAAAATTGGAATTTGATATATTGTACTCTTAGCAAGCCATTACCTCCATCTAAAGATAAATAAATGAAAAAAGGTTGACACTTGGAACTAACAAAATCATCTTTGAACTTTTGCAATGAAGATGGCAACAGGCAAGCTATTAACTTTTCTATATCTGTGCACCCCACCCACACACCACCCAAAAAAATGCTTGTTGAAGTAATAGAACGGCCAATAAAGGAGGAATCTTGGTCCCCATTTCCCCTTCCCCTAACCCGCAATTAAAGAAAAGGACCAACAAAAATCCTATGGATATCCCAAAACCTAATCCACCATTCCCTTTGAAGCATAACGATACAGCAGAAATGGGGAAATGAGAAAAATGAAACAACATGCAGACTCAACAAAGAACGACTTCAGATATACATCAATCAAGTATCAATTTTTCCCTAAAATTTCACATTTTATTGCAATGAAGCTTGCAACAGGCAAGCAATATTAACTTTTCTATATCTGTGCACCCCACACTCACACACAACAAAAAATTGCTTATTGAATCAATAGAACGGACAATAAAGGATGAATCTTAGTAGCTCAGTTGGTTAGCTACTAGAGCTTTCAACTTCACCTTGTCCGTGAGGGGTTCCATTCCCCCACCTTGTAATCCCCTCCCCATTTTCCCTTCCCCTAACTCCCAATTAAAAAAAAAAGACCAATAGATATCCCAAAACATACAGCAGAAAGGGGGCAAATAAGCAAAATGAACTCAACATAGAACAAGTTCAGATATACATCAATCAAGTATCAATTTTTCCCTAAAATTTCACATTTTATTGCGAGGGTAACATAATCCCTCCCCTAAAACAATAAAATAACATAAAACAAATAAAAAAGAGAGCTTTTTGAGTACCGGCAGGTGAGCTTTTGGATCCAACGTTCCTAGTTTGCTTAGCCCTAGATGGCGGCGTACGCTTCGGCTCGGCCGGCGGGGTTTGATTTATTCCGGCAGACCTCTTTTCGGCGCTTCGAGTTCTCATAATTGATTGATTCGATTAAAAGTTGGAAACGGAAAATAAAAATGAAGTGAAGTTTTGTAGAGTCGATAATGCAACGCGGAGGCAATGGAAGATGACACGAATACCCTCACACAAATACTACTTATTTATTTATTTTCTGAATGAAATTGTTTTTTTTTTTCTAGTACTATCTGCTTTATTGGTCAAAATATGTTTTTTGCCAAAGAAATAACGAAATGCTTTGTTTGGATGGTTATTACTTATTATCAATTTACTATTTTGTACTCATTAGGGCAGGCATTTTAAAAAGCTTGGCTCGATTTTTTTATTTTGATTTATCAAGAATTTAAATTGGAACCGAATGGAAATTAATTTGATTTGATTTTTTTATTTTTCAAATTTTTGTTGGTCTTAAAAAACTGTGATTTATTCTTTTTTCTGGAATTAAATTGGTAGAAAGGCAAAAAAATATGCAAAGGTCTAATCATATCATATATATATATAAAAAAAAAGAGAATCCTCAACCCGGTGATGTGGCGCCACCAGAAGCAAGGATTCTCTTTTTATTTATTTATTTATTTATTTATTTATTTATTTTCAACATTGCCCTTCCCCTCTGCAATAAGAACTCCACTTCAGCCTTCAACAACCGCTTCTCCTGTTCATTGTTTTATCACTCTTGCCGCTCTTCATAAACGTTGTGCTTATTTACAACAGTGGATCCGACTATGTGGCGCCCTCACAAATCAGAATTTTTATTTGTCCTTTATTAAAGTCACAACTCTTTAGAAAAGTCAAAACTCTTCATAAAAGTCACAATTTTTCACAAAAGTCATAACTTTTTATAAAAGTCATAATTTTTCACATAAGTCACAACTTTTAATAAAAGTCACAAATTTTCACAAAAGTCACAGCTCTTCATTTTTTATTTACACCTTTTAAAACCCAACACTTAATTTCAAGGCACCAAAAGAACAAAGAATAAACAAAGAAAATTAATTTCAATTGCAATGTGACATTACTACTTTTGCACCACTCAGTCCACAATTACTTGAATGGTTTAATTCATTACATTTGGTTCTTTAGGAAACAAACTTTTATTTCTGCCACTATTATTTGTAGGTTTTTCCCGTTATAGGGGAGTCGAATTCAAATACATTAATTAAGCTTATGAAGTGTGTTTCTTTTCTCAAAGTTTTCTCCTTCCTATTTCATGAAGGTCATAGAAATTCATGTAACTATTGCAATTTCTTTTTGCTATTTTGGTGACTTTTTTTTAACTCTGTTAACAATTCCAGTAAGGATGATTGAAAATTGATCTTCTCTTTTGTCCCTTTCTACAGGTTTCTTCATATACTTTTTGGGACAATTGCTTGTGGGATATGTTATATTTGATAGCACACAACACAAATATTTGATAACTAATACGAAATCAATGGTGAAGTTTGTTAAAAGAACCAAACATGTTATTCTCTTACTTGCCACAATTAGTATATTATTTTGATTGTTTTATCTTAGGTACAAATATTTTGTATGCCATTGCACTATTCCTAGAATATTAGTATAAAGACAATTAGTCCACTTCTTTTATTGCAAGTTGACTAATTTTCCATATTTCTTCCTCTCTTCTTTTTGGGCATAATAAGAGATCACGTTTTCTTGAAATTAACATATGCCCAAAAATACACTATAACAAAAATAACTTTTTTTGGAAAAAATATGTATATTAACGAAGAGTGCTAGAACCTTTACCGAAATTAATTAATTTTCATTAGATTCAATGTCTCTATAGACTTTAGGGACATTTATAGAGAGTATTTATTACCTCTGAAAATACATATTTAGCGGCAATTAAGCTAAAAATTACCGTTAAAGATCATTTTTGTTGTAGTGATAACTCTTTCTTTTGGATTCTTTCAATTAAATTTGTGAATTGTAAACTTATATACAGCCCGACATACTATCTTTTTGAAAATATGTTAAGCAACATGCCTTTTCCTTCTTGATTGTTAGGAAAAGTAACGTCGTCTTTATTATAATTTGTCGATATTTGTGAGTTCAAGTGCTCACAATTTATGCTGTGAGATTTTAATATGTGATGTATCAAAATTTTGGTTTAGAATATCTAGTTATGAACGGTTCCCTTCAGATGTCACCTACTGCGTGGTTGATCATTGCATTAATTCTTTGTTACTGCATACTATAACCATAACAATAACTTTGGTTCAATTCCATATATGTTAGGGCCGGTGATATGAAACCTAATCATTAGTAATGACTATTCTGAGACAATGAGGAAAAACCTTTATTACTAACAATTTTAGGGTCATTTTCAATATATAATAAAAAAGAGATTGATGGAGGTTCATAAGAAAGGAGCAGAAAGTCTTCTATTTGAATTTAGTTAATTATGTTTCTTGTATGGACGTGATGTCTCACTTTACTTCGGAGTGTTGTTGTTCGAGACTTTTTTGTCTCCTCTTTAACATATAATGTTGTTCTTTATAACTTCTTGGAATTTAGAAAATTTCGTTACTTTTGACAAACTATTTCCTTTGAGATTTTCATAGACTTTTTCCTTATACTTAAAATCTCTCTATGACTCATAATTTTTTGTATAACAAAAATAAAATTTTAAAAATATAGCACTTTAAGATTTTTGAGGAACGTTTTGCCTGAAGATAAAATATTCTTGACAATGTAGTGTATGTATTGAAAATATGAATATTATCAAATGATCATTCAATCCCGTGTGAAGCACCGATAATTTACCAAATAATATTATAAAAGAAAAACTTGTGAATAATATGCTCGCTCAAGAAGAATTAGAAAGTGTCATAACTTCCCGTTTACCTTTTGGGAGCAATCAAAATTCATGATGAGTAGTAAAATTTGAATAATTGTGATTATTATTTTTTAAGTCTAAATATTTGGTGAATTACGACAACATAAATTAAACTAATTCAATTGTCCTTAGCTATATACATGGTAATAAGATTGAAGTTGTAATATATATATATATATATAATTCAAATTTGATTTAAAAATGGATACCTAATTTGTTTATAGATTTTTATGTATAAATTTTGTTGTAGAAGTATTTTGAATATTATAAAGTAGGGAAAAAGGTCTGAAATATATTCGAACTTTGACCGAAATTGTTATAACAATACCAAACTTTGAAAAGAACCTTTTACCCCTGCACTATTTAATAGTGTATTTTAATGGTATTTATGCGTCCACGTGGATATCATAAATATTTCATCATTATAAATAGTAACGTGTCCACGTGAACACATATATACCTTTAAAATACACTATTAAATAATGCAGAGGGGTAAAAGGTCCTCCATAAAATTTGATATCGTAACAACAATTTCGGCCAAAGTTGAAGTATTTTTCAAACCCTTTTTCCTATAAAATATCTAGAGAGAAAAAAGTTGTATGACAAAAAGGTCTAATTTTAAAGTATACTTTTCAAAGTATTAGAAAAAAGTAAAAAGAGAAATTTTGAAGAGGAAATGTATATATTTTTTATTTTTATATCTATAAATGGTAAAGTTTGATTGATGTGCTTTTATGATTCTACTAAAAATGTGACATATGAAGAGTAAAATATATATTTGATGGAATAAAAATATAGAACTAAAATAAAGAATCTAGTGGAAAACAATACATTTACCACTTGATTAGTCCTCAAAAATGTGTATCTCTTCATTCAGAGTTGAGCAATGAAATAAAGAATGATTCATATTCAACTTTAAACAGAACATATAGAAGCTTAATTTGGCTTCAAACTATTCAGTTTAACCGAAATTATATTTTACGAAACCAAAAATCAAATCAAAAATTAAAAAGTTACAGAATTTAAACAAAATACGTTCAAATAATCGAATTGAATAAATTGAATCTTTTAATTCAATCAACTTTTCGGTTCAAACCTAATTGTGGGCCCCCTAGTTCTCATCCCATCAGGCTTCCCTAGAATACATACATGTAAATATCTTAAATATTTATTTTCTTACGTAAAACATAAAAAATAAAAAAACTACTTAGAATTTCAAGAAAATATTTTTCTTTAATACCAAGCTAACGACTTAGTTTATTAGGCTGAAGATACCTCAATCATTTTATCATATCTCAACCATCTGTAATTTTTTTCTACATAAGGTTTTCTAATAGTGTTCTACAAATTTCTAATGACAGATATATCAAAATAAATTTTTGGGGATTGCCGATGATTCCACCTATTTTTATAACAAATAGCTATGGAATAAGGATGACTAGTGGTGTTCACGGGTAGGTTTGGGTCGGTTACGACTATAGAGAAGCTTGTAAGAAAGAGAAAACACATCAAAAGCAAGCATAAACACACAAAATTAGGTCAAAAGGTTCTGGCAAATATAAAACATGCCCAAAAGTACCAACTGAAAGAAAACCAAATAACCAAACACATGTCTTTCCTTTTTCTTTTTTTTTTCTTCTGGTTTTCTTAAATATTCACCACAACCTCAGGGAATAGAAGGGCGTAAGAAAAAATATCCTTGGTGTGATCTTCTAATAGTCCATAAGTATCAATATGAGCATTTTCTGGGTGAGTATTGCACCACTCAGGTAATCATTCTTCCGCAAGTATCACATTCACATTATGCCGTTCTCAAGATGATATGAACACCACTCTCAGTTTCCACGATGTCACTTATCTCGCCAACTTTTAGAGCAAAAGTTGCTTCTTCAAAAGGTTTCTGCATCTGACCTTTGCCAAATGAACCTGAAAGTGAATTCTTCAGAGGTTAGTATAACTTGCTAACCAGGACAAGTATTTCCAATGCACAAAAGATCATTAACAAACCAGAACTCATTGTTGTTCAAGAAACTAAGGAAATGTGCATGTCCATTAAAACCATTGGCGATAAAAGCCTTTACTCACATCCTTTTGGTGTTATATAGCAGTGTATGTGCTTGTTTAGTAGATTGTGCTGCAACCTATGCAACAGCTACTGATTCAGAAATCAGAACTATATATTTCTTTTATAAGTATATATGATGATTCAGAAATAAGTTATCCACCAAGAAGCAAAGTTACAAATTTGTGGCCTCTAGGAAGCCATAAGAACCCAAAGAAGTGAGGCATTATCAACACTTGCAATGATCTTAGTTGACCGATTCTGAGCTGCTTAATCGGGCAAATGGCAATATGTTATAGAGAAAACTACTATACAAAATTTGAGATGGTGAATCTGGATATGATTTTTTCCTTTTCTTTTTTGACAAATGTGAATAATTCATTTGCCATCTTTCAAACATACAGTTGGTAAGAACAAATGTATCAGATTGCTCTATTCCGCATCTCTAGAAGCTCAAAGCCTTTCAATGTTAGATTTATATCCAAAGAATCACTTCACTAGGCAGGGAATGCTAGTTTCTAATAAACCCTCATAGGAATCATAGAAACATGTTAGAGCCTGTTTGGATTGACTTATTTTAGGTGCTTTTAAACCAAAATAGTTTTTTAAGCTAAAATAACAAAAATAAGCCAAAAGCCAATCCAAACGGGCTCTTAATCCTTAGTCGCAATGACTTTTTTAAAATGCCTCTTTTTTTAAAGCAGCACACTAACCCAACAAACACACTACAAGAATCAAAATGGAACCATTAGGAAAGGGACCTGGATTAGGTCACAATGAGACCATTAGTATGTTAAATTTTCCTGTTTATGCATATGAAGGAAATACCAATTTGTCTCAAAAAAATTTTAAAAAAATGAAATACCAATTTGTCTATCGATTCATTATGATTTTAAACTTAAGACTGTAAGTGCAATCAAAAAGGAAGTCACAGGATGTTGATGGAGTAATTTAAGCCCCACTGTTAACTCAGTTTGTTGCTTCTCTTTCAAAGGAAATGGCTATATTGGGCAAAATATTTTAGAATCCAGTGCATGCAAAATCAGGACTTCCAATAGCAATCAAGTTTTTAGTTAAAACAGCTAATTGCCAAAGTGTCCAGATATAACAAACTGTGGAAGTTTTCCTGAACCTCAGACATACTATGCTGTAGGCAGAGTGAAAAAATTACAGCATAATTCGTGGTTTCAAGCTTTTAGCCAGCTAGAAAATCTAGGAAATTGCAGCGGAAGTCTGTGCATGAAGAAAGAGAGAATTTCATGACACCAAACTATATAAACTGTCAGACAAGGAATAGAAGTTATGCCACAATTCTGATTTACTGTACAGTTCCCCAGGAAACAAGATTAACTAAGACAGCATCCCTGATGCGTAGCAAAAAAGAGTGCTTATTCATCAAATAAAACTGCAGCATGAACACACATTAAAGTTTAAACAGAACTCTGCAATCATGAAGTTGGCAGCAGCTTGCTATGAACATTGAAATACATTCAATTGATAACTCTTTCATCTTGATTGCTGGATTTTCAATCCTTGTGAGGATAAGATTAATACTCCCTCAATTCCATTTTGTATTACCACCTTATTCTTGTATTATGTTTCTACAGATATTGACCTATTTTCTAGTGACAAAATCACAACCTTCAAATATTTAAACATATGAGAGTTATTGCTTTGCATTATCTTACACTTACAATGACCTCCTTACCTTATGACATTTTCACCTGTTATTTAAACATATTTCTAAGAAACTCAAATGAAATAATTTGTGCAAATTTCTTCTTTTAATTGCCACATTATTCAAACAAAATCTACGGAAAAACATTTGAATACATCTAAAAGCTGCAGGAGTCTTAAGACAGAACCTTTTATAAAAAAAAGAAACCTTTTTCTTAAAAAAAGAGACATAAGACATAGAACCACAAAATAAAGTATTTTAATGACACATAAACTAAGGAGAGTTCAAAAATATTTAGAACACTTGAAATACTAAGATATGAAAGGTATTATAATTTATAGCTCCACACATGGAGATGAACCGCATAAAACCAAACAGAGCCTTAAGAATGAGCTCAAAAACCATTATCTCCAGATTTCACACAGTTTATCATTGAACTTTGCCAACAAACACATAGCAGACAAGATACTGAAGAACATGAGGTACTGAGCATTTAGAAGCAATAGATGATTCATGAAAGACAGGAAATGTCATTCCTTTAAGATCATGTTTTATCAGAAACAACCAATGCTAACATACTTAATGAAGAAAAGAGGGAGGTAGAAGAGGAAGCAAAGTATATGTATAGCTCTTGTGGCTTCCCCACCTCGTCATTTTGTTAGTTTCTAACAAAGTTGGAAAAAGATATTTATCGAGAAGCATAAGACTGTCTGGCCAGAGAGTGATGATTATCCTGCTCCCAAGAATATAGATAAGGTAGATGGGCAGAATTGAACAATAAAAAATCAACTGGAACTGCTTTTTGCGTGCAAGAGAGACGAGGCGTACAGACTTAGGCCCTAAATATCAAATGACTCGAGTAGAATCCATCAATTCACAGTTGCTTGTCTTCATTTCATTCATCAATCCTTCAGTAGGAATCAGTAGACAGGCTCTATGAAGCAGAACGTGCCTATGTTAAGAAAAAAGTGAGATACTGTGGTATAGTTGCATTTAAGTTCATTTATTCCTCGAAGAAGGCCACCTAGATTCTGATTAGGAGACTTCCTAAGGAGGATTTTAGATCAGACCAATCTGCTAGTGTGTCAGTCTTTCCTTTAGAAAGGGTTTTATTCTTTTTGGTTGGAGATTTGTGCATGACAATTGACAGTGCAAGGATAGGTTTGAGATTTAGAGAACCACAAAATAATGTCTTATAAGACAACTTGAGTATTGAAATGAAATTAGCCATGGAACTTCAACTTCAGGAGACAATTAATGACTGGGAAGTGATGGGGCAGAATTTCTCAACATTGTTGGAAATTTTAATGGACTCCAGATAAATGAGAATGTGTTATGGTGGAAAGGTGACAGTAGAGGCGTATTTAAAGTAGGGCCAGCTTACAGGTTGATGGAGCAACCAAGTCAACAGAACCCAATTTGGCCATGCAAATAAATTTGGAAGTGCAGAATTCCTTATAAAGTGCCATGCCTCACATGGCTGCTGGCTAAGGAAGTTACTCTGACGCAGGATAATGTAATGAAAAGGGGGATAACATTATGCTCTAGATGTTCCCTATGTGGGGAAAGCTCAGAAACTGTAAGCCATCTATTTCAATACTGCAAATATACTCAACAGTTATGGAGGGTGTTGTTTAGTCTCGAAGGCATTTCCTGGACGATGCCTAGGAGAGTCACTAAAGCTCTAAAAACATGGGAGAAAGCAGGTGTACATGCTAAAGACAGAGCTAGATGGAGAATTATCCCTGCTTCAATATGATGGGCAATCTGGAAAGAGAGGAATTCTAGGTGTTTTGAGAGCATAGAGAATATAGTGCATAAAGTTAAACTTAACTGCATTTTGGTATGTTTTTGGTGTAACCAATTATACTCAAATGATGTCTCTATAATTGATGTTTAGACTCAATATAGAGTTATAGACATAGAACAGTGAATTTTGGAGTTCATTTGTATATAAGGTTTCAGTAAGACTCAATATAGAGTTATAGACATAGAACAGTGAATTTTGGAGTTCATTTGTATATAAGGTTTCAGTACAGCCCTGTAGTGATATAATACAAAGTTAACAAGTTTAAAAAAAAATGAGTCTGGGATGGAGGTATAGTTATTCGTGTTGTTTGCATTAGTTCTTATGGGGAAGTACACAAGAAAAAGACAGGGATCTGATTCAGAATATAATGGCAGGGGCACTGTGGAGGACAAGAAAAGGAAAGAATGTGGTGTCCAACTTTGCCCTCTACAGCTAAGTATAAACTGCAGAGAACAATATTACACAAGGAGAATGAGGATCTCTAAAGTCTAAATATATGTCATCATGGAGCTCAAAGAATGAGTTTGACTTTTTTCTCTTTGCAATTTTTCATGACAAGTTCTTCTTTTGATAAGCAAAAAGTCTATTGTAGGAATTTCACGAATGCATGACCGGCCATGACAATTTAGGAAACTAAATCAACCAAGTCAAAACACACAAATATTACTTTTCCTTAGGAGTAACTGAACTAAAAGAATCATCACTTGCGTCTACAGATGACCCTACTAAGAATGAATTAACTCAGATATACTACTTGATCATGAAGCCTTAAGCAAGTATATATGACACTATAACTATTTACAAAGTCCAACAGTTCTCCTTGACTACAAACAAGCTTTCTCATATAATTTCGACTACTGTTATTTTTTCTCACCAATTTTGTTTATAATTTATTTTAGTTAAAAAAAAAACCATACTTCGCGCACAATAAGACATAAACAGGAGCGCAGAAAAGTGAAAAGCGGAAGCAAAAGGGGCTGCGGGAGTTTAGGGTTTACTGACCGAGATCACCGCCGCGTTTGGCTGAGCTGCAGTGAGAATGAGTGGCGGCTATATCCTGGAACTTGGCTTTGCCGGAGACAATGTCTTCACGGATAGATTTCAGCTGAGAAACGGCAGCTTCTTTGGTGGTGTTGGAGATAACACGGCCTTCCGGATCCTTCCAGGAGAACTTGCGACGAGACTCCTGATGCTTAATGAGTATATGAGACGCCTTCACTTTGTCTCCGCCGGCGCCGGAGCGGGAAGATGATGAGGGCATTTTGGACTTTTTCTTGTGCTTATCCGGCGGTCGATCTGCAGAAGAGATCGATGTCTTCTTCCTCTTCCGATCCGACTCTATTTTTACAGATTTGATATACGATTTTGCAAAGGGTGGAAGCTGAGAATTGCAGAGTATTTGGGGTTTCTCTATGCTGTTGTCTGATTCTTGACAAGGTTTTGGGGAATCGCAAATACCAGTAGATATAGTTTTTTTTTTTATTCAAAGCAAATTCGTAGTGTTATAGTTTATAGAATGTATTAATAATATTATATTGCGTAAATTAGGATGTTGATATGAATATATGAGTATAAAATTAGAAATTAAGATATTCGAGCAAAGATGTGAGTGGCTTTAATGATGGATAAGATGAGAAAAGCGAGACTGAGATGATCTTGGATACGAGGGTACGAAGGTTGCAGATTATGCTAGAAGATTAATATGTAGTTGAGTGTTCTCGTGTTTCCCGAAAGGTTTAGGCTTAGTGATATCTGTCATAGTAGTAGCTTTATTTTTACAAAAAAAAAGAAGACTATTAGGAGTAATACTTTATGTGAAAAGATATGGATAATTTTGAGTCTTAAGGCGTTCGATTTTTCGATTTGATTTGATTAAACTTCGATTCGGTTCTTCAATTTTTGGTTTTAGAAAAGTGTGCACCATATAGCAAACCAAACTAATTTGATTTGGTTCAATTTTTTCTACTCTGCGTCGATTTAGTTCGGGGTTTTAAATTGATTTTTCGGTGTGAATAAAAAAATAAATTAATGAGGACAAAACTAAAGTATAAGATACTTAAAAGTTTAAAAGTATGTTGAGGAATGATGTGTCTTGCCAATGAGACACTTACCGTGCTAACTAAAAGGCTATATTTATCTTTGATCAGGGGCGGAGCTACAGCCTGATAAGGGTGTGCACGTGAACACCCTTCGTCGAAAAATCACACTGTTTACGTAAGTAAAAAATTATTAAATACAAATATATAATTCATGTTGCACAACCTTAACATTAAAAGAGCCTTTGGCGCAGTGGAAAGGGTGTTCAAAAGGAATGCTGAGGTTGCCAGTTCGAATCTTGTTGCTATTATTTTACTTCTTTTGTTTGTCAAAATCACACAATCCTTTGTGGGTCCACCTAATCTCAAGTTACTCTTGCAAATTAAAGTTATAATTTACTTTCTTATTTAGGAGTCATTACATATTATTTATTTTATATTTATTTTCTCCATTTCAATTTATATGACATTGATAATTATTGTGCTTTATATTATTTTTTTATTTAATTTTTAAATATATAAATATATAAATTTTGTTTCAAAAGCTATTATTTTAGAATTCACGGTCTAAGTTTAAAAATTTGAATCTCAAAATTTTAAGTGTGCTACATAAATTGAAAAAGGAAAAATAATAAATTTAACTCAAACCTTAGTTTGGATATATATATTTGTAAATATAAAATAATAGTTTAAATGAGTTTCTACTTAAAGAATTAGAAAAGAAGGTTATATGCAATTACATTTCTCCATTTCCTCTAAGTAGGTCATCCGGAGGTTTGAAAAAAATAATTCATAAGGGGTTAATTTTTTCATAGTTTCATAATTGAATTTGGAGATTTGGAACTTTTAATTAGAATTTTCACACATTTTCTATTAGAATAAAAGAAATTTAATATACATACATTGAAATAAAAAAAGTAGCATAGTCGATAGGTTGAAAAGTAACCTTAAATTTAAGTAAAAATTAATAAATTTTTTTTGAATATGTGTATGTGTTCAATAAAATCTCGACCCATTCATTATAAAACTATTATTTCAATTGATATAACTTATCATGTATTTTTGAAAGCAAACCAAATTAGAGATTTTTTTTTCAGACGTTGTGTTTAGTGGAATTTTTTTTATTGACGATGTTGATAGTAAAGTCGTTAGGTAGAACAAGATGGATATAAATCCATACCAGAAAATTTTGTTCGTTGCCTTCAAAAAAATTGCACACCCTTCATAAAAAGTCTAGCTCCGCCACTGTCTTTGATAAGAACATTGTGCCTCCAACTACTTCTCGATAAAAATAAGAACGAAGACAAATTCCTTTACATAACGTACATTGATAAAAATCTGTTTTGGTTTCTCTTGGGAATTAATATTTGAAGTTAACTATTGAATTGTATTTGTGCATGAATGATTTAATTGTTAGTTGATTTTTTTATAAAAAATATTTTAATAAAAGTTCGGTTCTTCGGTGCACCGAAGTTCTGAGACCCTTACATTGAAGACCCAAACTATTGAAAAAATAACATTGACATCAAACCGAAAAATCAAAACCAATAAACCGAATAAGTCTGGTTCGATTCGATTTTTTAATTTTCCGATATTTATGCCCACCTACTTAAGGCAATGATAAGGGCAATTTTGGTCTTTTTTTTTCAACAAAAGAAAAGAAAAGCTTAAGAACCGTTAGATCAAACTCGATCCATCGGCAGAGGAGCTGGAAGAATTTGCCCTAAAGTTTTATTAATAAGTTGGCGGCACTCTACTTGTTTGATTTCTCGATACAGATTCACAATTTTGTGGTAGCATTAGGTTTTTGGAAGAAAGTACAGCGATGAGTCGGAGCTTAGGCATACCGGTGAAACTTCTACACGAGGCAACAGGGCATATAGTGACTGTAGAGATGAAAAGCGGCGAGCTTTATAGAGGAAGTATGGTCGAGTGCGAGGACAACTGGAATTGCCAGCTCGAAACCATCACTTACACTGCTAAAGTATGGATTTCTCCTTTTAGGTTAACTTTTTGTCAATGCCGTGTTTGCTGTTCCTATATTCTAAAACCCTAGTTCTTGTAATTTCACGTGATTCCGATTTATTCTGCATTCAGATGGAAAAATTAGGTGTTGATCATGCTAAACTAGAGAATTTAAGTTAATCTCTTGTTTTCTGTTAAATGTATGTTGTGTTCAAATGAAGGATTGTGTTGTGCTTTTAAGTGTATTTACTGCCAAACAACTCTATTTTATGAAAATGAAAAACCTTTTGGTTTGTTTGGTTTATTGAAATATTTTCTGTTTCTTTCTTCGAGAAATGCATGATTTTTTTAATCCTTTCACACTGCAATTATTGGAAAAGTTGTTGGTATAAATAGCTCTCCGGATGATCTCCAATCATCTTCCATTAGCTAAACAGAAGCAGAAACTTTCAATGCATATGTTTTTTATTGTTCAAATCATTTTTATTGATTACCAGCCATAAGAGAATACTGGAAAGTGTTTACAAGGATAACATCATGACTAGTCGTGTAATGAGCTAAGAATTCCACCATGGCTTCTTCAGTGCTTAGTTTGGCACTTGAAATAAATCATCTGTTAAACCTATCTGATTTTAGTAATGAGAGCCTTTGGATGTCAAGTAGAGATGGAGCCGTGGAAGTGGGACAAGTAGACAGTAGTTAGGCTGTTGCAGGATCTTTTCTCAAGGTAAATGTAGAAAATAATCTGGTGCTCCTCCTTCTGTCAATTCCATGTAAACTGATGAGCTTCTCCTTACTCCTATGATAAACAAATCTCGAGAAAAAAGGCATGAAATAGAGTTAGAGCTGAGATGTTATTTCATTCTATTCTGTGATGGTGCCTTAAAAAAATATTTCATGGTGGGGAAAGATGCCCATACTGGAGGTTGTCAGGGGCGTATTGGTTGTTAAGAGATAAAGGGAGGGATGCAGGGGAGAGAGTAAGGGCAGGATAGATGGGTTTAAGTTTGTATCTAGCTACCTATTAATGATAATAACCCCCATGCTCTCATTATAACAAAAAAACAACTTCCAAGCTTTGTTTTCCAAGATTTTTCAGGAACTTGATCCCTTTATTAATGAACAGATTTTCCAAAATCCTCGCTTTTCCTGGCAAAGGATAGCTGAAGACAAGGAGAAGTCTACAAAATACTACCAAAATTTCCTTTCTCTTTAGATTATCAAATATTCCATTACAATTTCAAAAAAAAAAATTAATTATATGAGGGCTTTGATATACCATAAAACTTTTGCTTACCAAAATCTAATATTTGATACTGTATTGCCCATGGTCAGCAGGTTAATTTAGACCAAGATAGTGGGGAGACACTAGAATAGCAGTTTTTTTTCTCCTCTTTTTCATATGGTGGAATGTAAGTCAGCTCGCACACACCCCAACTAATCACTTATCCCATCCAGGTACCTGCTATCTCCGTGTGCACAGATCACTTAACTTTTTGTCTTTTGTCGAGATTTGCACCTTGTTAACTCATGATCCTTCTTAGTTTCATTGGTCGTTAGGTCACCCTTTTATAGTTTGATTGAATAGTGGCTAAAATTGCTCCAATCACAACTTTTTCTAGTCATATGGGTCTTAAAAAGTCATTAGCCGAACTTGCAGTCCACAAGGCTAAAGTACATGCTAACACAAATCATTTCGCATCACACTCGAGGAAATGAATTCCAACACAACCCAACCATGAAAACACGGATTTTCATGAAAAAAAAGTCTCAGATACCTCACAATAATGGTATAAATTCAACCAGTGGATTTCATAGGAGCTCTGCAAGTATTTCTGTTCTTTTGTTTTTTGTGTAACTAACACTTTTGGAGGTGGCCAACATAGCTCTTAATGCTGAGGAGTACAGAGTTATCAGTTTCTAAATAATGAATATAACTAGATCTTAGTCCTAAACAATAAGGGCACATTTAATAGAAATTTCTCCACCACCTTTCATATCCATTTATTTATTTTATGATCAAGATATCCCAGAGGGTCATTGGTACATTGTTTGAAACTCGCTGTATCATTGGTCCATCCCTCTATCCTTCTCCCACTCAAATACTAGCCCTTTTGTCTGCAACATGATTGAAGCCGGTGATGTGCACCTAACCTACACATCACATGTTGCGGTCTTACCTAGCGCAAAGCCATATGACCCCCTTCCATATCCATTTATAACAATGGGACATATCCTATTGTAAATAATTAATACATAAATGACAACACAAAACTAGTAAAGGTTCGTATATCTAACTTCTAGTTTTTGAGGTTTTTGTTATTTATTTGACTTTCTGATGTTCTATTTGATTAACTGTGTATTCCTGGTAGTAAAGGTGCTAAGAAGAGGTTAAGAATTTGTGACATTTTGCTGTCATGTTTTTGTTGCATTTCCAGTTTGTGGTTCTCAAGTTTGGAGCCAAATGGATTAGATGGGTGAAATTCTGCATAAGCACAGTCAAGTTTTCTATTTTAGTTAATAGAACTCCTAGTGGTTTCTTTTCATTTCGAAGGGGACTGAGACAAGGTGACCCCCTGTCACCCTTTTTATTCATCTTAGCAATGGAAGGTTTGAGTAACCTAATTCACACAGCAAAGAGGAAGGGTTGGGTAAGGGGCTTTAGGGTGGACAGCAGTGCACAAAATGGCTTGGAGATTACACATCTGCAATATGCAGATGATACCCTTATTTTTTGTGAAGCAATGACAGAGCAAATGTTGATCCTAAGAGTAATATTCATCATCTTTGAAGCAGTCTCTGGATTACATATCAATTGGGGGAAGAGTTTCATTTATCCCATAAATGAAGTGGCTCAGGTGGAGGGTCTGGCAGGGGTTTTGGGTGGTAGGGTAGGGGAACTACCAACCATATACCTAGGTATGCCATTGGGGGGGAAGAGCAAATCAATAGGGATCTGGAATGGAGCGATAGAAAAATGCGAAAAGAAGCTTACCAACTGGAAGAGCCAATATCTGTCTAGGGGAGGTAGATTAACCATGGTTAATAGTGTCCTAGATGCAATACCCCAGCACCAGACAATGCCATACAGAGGATAGATGCTTTGAGAAGAAGTTTTTTTTGGCAGGGAAATGAAGATAAAAAGAAGTTTCATCTAGTCAAATGGGAAGAGGTCATAAAAATAAGAAAGAGGGGGGACTAGGGATCAGGAACATGAAGAAACAAAACAAAAGCCTAATGCTAAAATGGCTTTGGAAGTTTATGTCAGGAGAGAATATGCAATGGAGAGAGGTGATCAAGGCAAAATATGAAATGGAGAATAGGTGGATGACAAAGATGGTAACTACACCATATGGATGTGGTATCTGGAGATCAATAAGAAATCTTTGGCCTCTGTTTCTTTCTAGAATCAGATTCCAGGTGGGTAATGGAATGAAGGTGTCATTTTGGGAGGACAGATGGATAGCCCAAAGAACCCTGAAACAATTATTCCCAGACTTATATACACTAAGCCTTCAACAAAATGCAACTGTGGCTGAAATGTGGACAGGACAGGGGTGGAACTTACATCTTAGGAGGAATCTAAATGATTGGGAGATGGGGAACATAGTGGCCTTCCATGATACAATGGCACAATTTAGCAATTTGACTAGGGAAGAAGACAAGGTTGTGTGGAAGATTGGTAGCAAAGGGGTTTTCAGTGTCAAGTCAGCTTACAAAGATCTTAATCAATCAAATTCAAATGATAGGATGGAGCTATGGCCATGGCGGATGATATGGAGACCTAAAATCCCATACAAGGTAAACTGTTTCACATGGTTACTAGCAAAGGAAGCAGTGCTGACACAAGAGAATATAAAGAAGAGGAAGTTCCAACTATGCTCAAGATGCTATCTGTGTGAGGAACAGGAAGAGACAGTCAACCATCTCTTTTTGCATTGCAAATGGACAGATCAATTATGGAGAATATTCAGCAGCCTTAGAAAGATCACTTGGGTGAAACCAAGAAACATAGCACAACTCCTAAATTGTTGGATCAATATTGGCAATACTACAATTAAGGAGGAGAGATGGAGGATTGTCCCAGCATGTATATGGTGGACAGTATGGAAAGAAAGGAATCAAAGATGTTTTGAGGGCAAGAAGAACAATGTGCAGAATTTCAAGATGAATTGTATAGCTCTTTATTATTTTTGGTGTAAACAGAAAGTCTTAGTACAGGCAGAAGAACTTTTTGATGTTTTAGACTATTTGTGACAAAAAGCATAGATGGAGTCAGTCTAGTTTGTAATACTTTTGGGAGAGGGGCTACTTTGATGTAGTATACCTGTGGATAAATAGAAGAAAAAGTTACCATTCTCAAAAAAAAAAAAGTTCACCCGTTTTTAGTGTCTTCACTTCCAATTTCTTGTGGGGTGCAACTTGCTCTCCATTGCATTAGCATAACAGGTGAACAATACTATGGTCTTACACTGCTGTCCCTGTACTTGATATTTTTCTTAACGTTGTCTGTGAGGAAAATGATCACGATATATCATAAAGCATCCAAATCTTATTGAACTTTTGCCAAAGAAAAAGAGTGATTTTTGCAATCCTTGAGTTGAAGCTTCCTATGGATAGTTGATGATATTTGGTAAACAAATAATTAGCCGGGAAAAGCCAATTTAGCAATACGTCATTTGTTTTGCATTTGTTACTGCATGACTGATATTGGACAAATAATTCAGCTTCTAAGCTGTAATAGCTTCTTTCTCCAGTTACTCATAGAAAAAGAAATGTAGGTTTCAGTATAGGACCTTCCTTCTATGGGCTATTTTAAAATGTTTTTTGTTCTGCAGGATGGGAGGGTGTCACAACTGGAACATGTTTTTATCAGAGGCAGTAAAGTCAGGTATATAAAATTATTGATTCTTATTGCATGGTTTTTGGCTGTTTCCTGGTAAAAGCATAACTGAACTTTAATTTCTACCAGGTTCATGATAATTCCAGATATGCTTAAGAATGCTCCCATGTTCAAGCGTCTAGAAGCTAGAATTAAGGTACTTCACTGAAGCATATGTTTGTTTTATCCTTATTCTTCATTTATTTGAAGTGTTTCACTTATGTTTAATTTCACTTTTAAAGGGCAAAGGTTCATCACTTGGTGTTGGACGGGGACGTGCTATGGCAATGCGAGCTAAAGTGAGTGTTGCTTCTATTCCTTCTACTTATTTTTTTCTGTTTGAGGCCAACTACTGAAACTTAACCACATACTATCTCTTGTAGAATTTAGGTATATGCTGTTAATTTGCTTCTTTTTTTTGCACTTCCTTAAAAAAAACAAAAACAATTGCTTTATTTTTGCAAAATGGTGGGGCCATTATCCATGTTTGGTTCAAAAAAAGGAGGGAGATTTGAATGGGGGGTGGGGTAGTTGACGGTAAAAGGGAGAGGGGAGGTGAGATTGATTGATTTACTTCTACTATGTTCCTTACTTCTACTTATTTATCTCTTGGTTCTTCCAATTTAAGAAAGTTGTCAACTCCTGATACATTTACTTCTACCCTCTATTTCACCGAAATTATAAAAGAGTCTGTTGTTGGTTGCTTTAGATTTTGGGAGTTGTGATCCTCCCAAGAACTCAAGTGGGATTTCTCATCCGCCTGGAAAGGATGTTATGTAGAATTGCTACTAAAAAAAAATAGGAGGATGTCATGAAGTATTTGTTGTGTTTTAGCTAGCCAAGAATTGAACTTGTAGTGAAGAAATGAAATGTACCTGATTATTATATCTCGTTTGCAGGCTCAGGCAACAGGTCGTGGAGCAGCACCTGGTCGGGGTGTTGTACCCCCTGTAAGAAGGTGATTGACCCATGCAGGATTTCATATGATCTGGTTTTGAGATATCTTATGTTTATTGTATTGGCATACACTTCTGTTCCCTTGTAATCTAAGAAGTAAGGAACACTTGGTTTAGAATTTCAACTTCCTGGTCTAAGATACGACTTGAGAGAAGCTGATAAATTGAGTGACTTTCGGATGGTTGGTCTAGTTGCTCTTAAAACATTTATTGAGTCATGAGTATTTTGATGTGTCTCAGTTTAGTGAATGTCCACAAGTCTCTATGAATACTACAACTCATCTCGTTGGGAAAAGTCCCCCAACGATACCAACAATTGTATACAACACTTGTGTATGTAAAACCTACCGATAACCAATTAACCCCCATCTCAGCAAATTAATCATTTAGAAATTCCAAGGAGATTGGCATGCTTAACTTCATTTAAGAATGGCTTCAATTTGATAGTAGTATAGTACTTTTTAGAAAAAAGGTTGCTTGACAAGTAGATAACTAAAAGAATAGAGTACATGATTGGCATTGGAATCATTTTCAAACATCATTTTTGTACAAGCTTCTCACCCAACATTTTTGTATAAGCTCTTGATCAGAAGGAATGATTTAACAACCCCTTGAATGCAGGATAATTTTCCAACATTTCAATTTTTACTTAATAGACATAAGGAATATGAAATTCCACTTAAAAAAACTTTAACCATCAACCATACTTTACAACACTATTATTTTCCCATCAACTATACTTTACAACACTTGTAGTAAAATAACGATATGATAGAGCAAATGACGTTATTGATAGAGTCGAGGAATGAAATCCTCAATGTCCTTCACAATGGTCTTCTGCGTAGCTAAGTCTTAGAATTCTTTCGAAAGAAGTTCCTCCATATACGAGGCAATTACAAAACCTCATGTAACCAATTCCTTACATGCCAAAAGTAGTCAGCTAATTCATTTGGAAACTTGTTGGATATAAACTGATATAACACATCTAATATGTGGTGTTCACATAAATTAAAAACTGATGGAGAAAGCAATATGACATATTTGGAATAGCATTGAATGTGAATTATACCACAGACATTATATAATGAGTTTACCTTTCCCTTCCATTCAAAATCAAAAAAATTGCAAAAGGGCTCCAACAAGAGTAGTTCGTTATGTAATGATGTGAAAGTTTAATGGGGAGCTGGATAGCCAATACTTACAGCAACTCACTCTATGATGAGTAGTTAATGTTAACCAGTATTTTCAAGTTCTTGTGTCATTTTTCATTTCAATACTTTTTCTCCTTCCACCATCAATAATTCATAGACCATGCCTTTATTTATGTTATCTTATTATCTGCTTATTTCATTTTAGTATAGGAATATGTCACCACAACAATCTGATTCACCAGATAATTAATAATTGGGCGGGGCACTCTGGTTTTCGCTGCTTGAATATTGGGGGTTAACATATCTTTAAAGGAGGGCGTTGAATCAATACATGTTGTGTTCATCAATTTTAATGGCTATTAAAAAGAATCAAAAGTTTTTTACTTTGAGAAACTATAAAGGATCAACTACGGAATTTGCCAATTTTATTATATTACGTTGTTAATTCTTTACTTCAATAATGTTGATGAAGTAAAATATGCATAACCGAGGAATGGAAAATACAAATGTATTTTTGGTAAACAAGCTCATAATTTAATTGTAGAGTCCAACTTACCTTCTACTACTTGGAGTAGAGTTAGGTTTGTTTAAATTGTAAGTACTATATAATTATAGCGTAGAAACAAAAAAAAGAAAAAACCTATCACCAACATGGATGGCCTCCCCCATTTGCCTGGAGATATTGTCAACTCCATCTTCTTTAAGCTTGATGTGAAATCTCTTACACGATTCAAAAGTTGCTGCAAATTATGGCATTGTTAATTTTATCCTGCCAGTTCTACATACAGGAACACACAAATTTGAAATTGTGTCAACGGGAGCATTATCAATTACACGATTATATTTTTCCATCTAACAGATGAAAAAGTTTACTTTAATACCAGTGCCAAGTACACGTAGGGGGAAACAACCAACATTGCATGCATTGACTCTTAAGTTTTCAAGAAGAATGAGTGTTAATATTCACTACCTATTTAAATACATTCTTCTTTCATTTCAGAGGAAGAAAAAAAAAGAACAAGAACAGAAAATTAGAAGAGGGAAAATCATAACTTCTAAAAGAAAAAAAAAATTCATCTTTGGTGGTCTTTGGGAGTTCAATTAAGTTTTGCTTTCATCATTGTTTTGTTATCATCTCTTTAGTGGTATATCTCTTTCTTTACATTTTGCAATGTAACTTCAAAAAATAATGAAGCATGTTTATTATTTTTGATTAAATTATTATGTTTAGTTTATTTGAATTAGTTAAATATGTTATGATACTTAATATGATTATGTTTCATTGTTAATTGTATATTTGTGTTTTATTATTAAACTATGTGTTAATTCTATCTTTATCATTATGAAGTGATACATAACTTTATTAGAATTAGTTAAATTATGTTTTGTTATTATTATATATTTGTGTTCTATTATTAACTAAGTATTAATTCTATCTTTATCATTATAAAGTGATACATAACTTTATTGGAATCAGTTAAATTATGTTTTGTTGTTATTATATATTTGTGGAGAAAACAACCAAATACCCCCTCAACCTATTACCCAATTCTCAACTACACACTTATACTTTACGGGGATCCTATTACCCCCCTAAAGTATTTTAAACACAGATATTGACACCCCTTAAAATGTCACCCCCAAATCTTTGTTGCTAAGTGTAATACACACCTATTTTTTCAGTCAATTTTTTTTTTAAAAAATCATCACCAAAATACATTAGCTGTTTTTCAGTTTTTCTCCACCATTCCATTCATCGTCCTAAATCATCCCCTTTTCCTCCATTGTTCCCAAATGTCTCATCTTCTCCACTCCACCTCCATCTCCATCACATCCATCCTCCTACGTCTTTCTTCTATCTTTTCGATTATTTATTTACACAATTTTTTTTTGTTATTGTTGAATTCAATAAATTTGACATGAATGTTGAATCTTTTTACTATGGTATTTTACTGCCATTATGGTCTAGTTCTGCATCCGTTGCTTTTGTTTTGATAGATTTGAAGATGAAAATTTTCTTGCCAAATTTCAAATTCTAATACCCACTTTCAATTTCAATCAAGAAACTCACAAATTTCAAATTCTAAAACCCACTTTCAGTTCCAATCAAGAAACTCGGGTTGCTACAATAATCGAAAAGATTTCTCTAGCGGAAGCTGTAATATCATTTTTCAATGTCGGATTGAGAGTATTTTCCATTGATGTGAAAAAATTAAAGGATTATCGTTAACTTTCTTTTAGTTATATTGTCTATTTTTAGGAAAGATTTGAAGGGGTTGGTCATGAAATAGTTCATTGTGGATTTAAAGTGAAAAAATGAAAAATAAAATGTTGTATAGGTGCTTGCCATGGCAGCCATGACAAAATTTAATTGCAGAGGTGTAAATGTTGAAGGAGGGAAATGGTTAGAGAGAGAGAGTATGTGATTGTAATTAATTAAATTTATTAATTAATTATATTGAATTCAATTAAAAAATGACACTTGTTTAATCATTTAATTTTGACTTATTTATTAGTCTTACACTTGCCTTCAGGAAAGTGAACACACTTGCTGTGCCATATCAATACTTAAGGGTGTCAATATCTCTGTTTAAAATACTTCAAAGGGTTAATGGGACCTCCGTAAAGTATTGGTGTGTAGTTGAAAATTGGTTAATAGGTTGAGAGGGTATTTGGTTGTTCTCTATATTTGTGTTATATTATTAAACTAGGTGTTAATTATATATTTATCATTATGAAGTTGATACATAACCTATGCTTTTGCTAAAAAAAAAACCAACAATCTCAAAGTCTTTTTTTTTTTTTTTAGTTTCTGGTCATTTTAAGAAAAGAAAAAAAAAGAGGTTGTTTTTGCAAAAAAAAAAAAAAAAAAATGTAAATCTGGTCATTTTTACAAAAAATGTAAATTTGATCATTTTTGCAAAAAATGAAAATTTGATCATTTTATAAATTCTGTTTTTTTTCCTCTTAAATAAATATATGAAATGGTTATTGAAACAAAAATACAAAATCGGCTAACTTTGGTTAGTAATTTAACTATTAGATAAAATTAGCTATTTTTGCAATTTTCTTTCAAAAGAGCATATGACCATTTTGTGTAAAACTGAATATTTTACTAAAGTGGTCATTTTTTGAAATTATATAAAAAATAAAATAAAATTAGTATATCACTACTTGCTTTAAAATGAGCTTAGTCATTATTATTATTTTTTTCTTTTTGTTGTTATCGTCAAGTAGTGATACTTAATATTTATTTGATTCTTTTTTTTTTAAATCGTTAATAACTTTTAGCAATTTGCAAAAAAAAAACAAATTTTTTTTTCGTATCTACATGTTGCAACAAGTTCATTTCTTTTATTAATTCTTTTTCTCATTATTAAATAAATTTTGACTCATTAATTATCAGTATTTTTAAAAATAAATAAATATATATATTAAATACCACAATGTGTTCGATTACGATCCTTGGTGTGTATTTTTTCTAAAAAAATGGTCTTCTGTGCGGTTAAGCTCGTAGGCCAATCATTTTTTTATTAAAAAAAATAAAATTTAGTAACTAACACAAATTTATTTTTTTATCCAAAATTATTTTAGCCAAACATGAGTTAATTAAGTGACTGTGCTAGAACCACGGGACTCGGGGGTGCCTCACACCTTCCCTCCGATCAATAGAATTTTTTACCAAATCTTTATTTTCGTAGACTAAAAATAAAAAATAAAAATTTTCCTCTTTTAAATTAGGAATTATCAGGTGACTTGAAACATCTAAAAAACCCAATTTCAAGTGGCGACTAAGAATTTTTTTTTTTTTTTAAAAAAGCCGTTATATCCTTAACAATTGTAAAAAAGGAAAGTGATGTGACAGATCTGGCGACTCCGCTGGTGAGTTTCTTTAGAATTCGAGCTTTGTACATTGACTATATTTGGTTATTTTAATTATTTGGATAATTTTTTTTATTTGTTGGCTAATTGCGCTATTTCAATGAATCATTGTTTTTATATGGTGTGATTATATATAAATTGCTTTCTCTCACATACCCTCTGAGTCTCTAGAATTTTTGTTATACATTGTGTGTGCGAAGAAAACTTCATGGGACTTTTGTCTAGGATGAGCCAGT